CACCCCCGCCCCAGACAACCAAATAAAAACCCTACCAGCTCCCCACCCCTCTGTATTTCAACCTTCTTTATCTTCCAGAGGAGACAGGGAGCAGACTTGCTGTGAAAAATTCAAGAGTAGCTAAAGGACAGGTTGAAATAACAACGTTTGAAGTCAAGTCAGTATCTATTGCAACATACAAGCAAGCCACAGTCTCTTGTGTTTGCATTTTCATGTATTTAGCAACTGGACTTCAGACTGCAGAGTTTTCAAAATGCTGAAACATGCAAGCATAGGGACTGTGATGAACAAGAAATGCTTTGAAAGTGTTCTAGAAGGGCTGTAAATATTTATCTTCTTTTGTAGGGGGGTGATAACGAACTCATACAGTTACTTACGGACATCCTACTGTGTATAATGTGGAAAGGCATTGAGAAATCTGACGATGCCGCTTGGATCGAGAGAGGACAGGTGTTTTCTGCACTGACCAAACTGGGGGTATCTAATGAGTTGCTGCGACCTTCTGATGAAATAAAACTCAAGTGAGTGTACAGTTCAAGGACAGGCTTTTTCATCCCTTTTGAGGAAAAACAAGGGGCACTAGTGAAGCTGGGAAGGGGTGGCTGTTTGCCAACAAGATACATTTTTCATTGTTCTCTCATCACCTACTGTCATAACTGTATTCCACTACCTATTTAATAGTGTCATGTGGCATGAAACTGTATTGCTGATTTCATGAGCCTCTCAAAATCTCTTGTACCTCTTTGGCTTATTGAGGAGATGACAGTTATGTCACTGCAGACTAAGAGACTCAGTTAAATACTTAATTGGATTTTTTTAAAGCCACTTACAGTTAGAACATGTAATAGTTACTTTGGGATTTTGTCTTCTATGCAGCTTGCTGGAGAAGATGTTAGAATGGTCAGTCACTGATAACAGAGATTCAAAAGCTCTTCCTACACATGTTGAAAATGCCTTCAAGCTCTTACTGATTGTACAAGATTTCCTCCAGGCAGAGGGACTAGTTAATTCAAATTTATGGACAGAAAAGGTAAAGTAACTGCATAATGGAAGCACGGTGTTTAGGTTGAAATAGTAATGAAAAAGTTGTCACTTTAGATACTCTCAGCCCTCCTAGGCATATGTTTTTAAACTGTAGATATTACAGATTAAGGGTTCATAGTGGAATGAATTGCCCCTTGAGTAAAAAAGCATGAATAGTTACTACAGGGAATATAGTTAATTTTGTAAGTTAAATCAGTAAGTGGTGCAATTTATTGAAAATCCAGGTCTCTTCAGACTGGAGAAATACTTAGAAAATGTAGGAGCTAATGAAACCATGTTAGTTGTAGCCTAAGCAGATTTTGCAAAATCTATCAGCCTGTATTGTGTGTTACATCATATGTATCCTGAATGAAAGACCTGCCAAAACTCTGCTCTTAGTTGCAAGCTGAGAAATGTCACTTCTGGGCTTTGACCCATATTGAAGTTTAAACATGATTTTGTGCATATGTGTGCAAATAGCTCAATTTTATATAGCAGAGTCAGAAACATGAGGTCTGAGGAAGAAAATTACTAGCAAATACAGTAATTAGTATGATTAAGAAGCTTTCTGTCATCTGGCTGCTTCTCTTGCCTCCTTGACATATGTTGTAGACACCTCTAATTTGCCTCAACATTTATGTAATTTCTGGCAGTGGTCTTGCTTCCTACACTGGCGGAGTTGTCATTGATGTTGCCATTTTTCAAGGCTTAAAGGGAAGAGTTATTGTATGGAAACCATCATTTTATCATGATAAATCCTTAAAGAAAAATCGGGTGGTTTAAGCCTACTTTTAAAGGAAAAAAAAGTAACACTAAGAATCATCAACACAATAATTCCTAAGCTGTTTTCTAAAATGCCTGCTTATAAGTAAACTTAGTAAACATAAGCTTAGTAAACATAACATAAGCTTAGTAAACATAAACTTAGTAAACATAAGTAAACATAGCTTAATCTAATCTTAAAGCTTTTGCTTGTTTTTAAACAGTCTTTTGGTAAAACCTTTGCTTTTTGTTGTGGTCTAGCTTTGTGAAATCTAATTAGAAATGAGATCTGAACTTTGGAGCAGTGAGAGTTGTGCTTGTTGCCAACTCTGAATGGAAAATAACAGGAGAATTTAAATCACCATAATATTCTAAGCAGGACAGCTTTCAGCTTGACAGAGGAGCATTCATGTGATTCTGGGGCTTAACAAAATTACATTTGAGTAATTTAGTAGGGAATGTATCAAGGTATATTAGTTTTAAGCAAACATGTCTGGGTGGTGAAACATGCCATTTGCCCTGTGAGTACCTACCTTTCACAAGGTTTGCATCATTTGCAGTGTGGAATTACTGACAGAAAGGAGTGTCTCCTGATAGATTTATTTTTTTATTATTTTTAAAAATACATTAATATTTTTTTCAAGACACTATGAAGTTTCAGGCATTTCACTATATCAGATATTCATAAAGGAAGTCGTGTTTTCCTTCTCAGGGGACTATGCAGATTGCCTCTTTGGCTTTTTGAAATTGTGTCTCCAGCTGGAGTAGCTGTTGCTGATTTTATTTAATGCAAATCTTCTTGTTTTTATAATAGCTCTTGGAAGAACTAGTGACTCTCATGGATAGTCTGTCAGTCTGGTACTCTGCTGGCCTAGAAGCAATTAGGCTTTCACAGGTGCAAGTCCAGTTGCTCCTTGGATTCATTGCACAAGATAACTTACAGGTTTGTTGCAAATTCCTGCAAGTGGTACTGTGGTTTAAGTGCATGTTTGAGGAAACTGCTGTGGCTTATAGGGGAGCCACTCATACCAGTGAGCAGACTGATGGCAGCCCTTCACCCTTCTATAGGGAAGATATTTTATTCTTACCATTGGAAAAATTCCTCTACAGTCCTCTCAATGTGCACCTCTTGAGCCTGAAAAAGAGGTAGAGGGTAAGCTGTTTGAAAATGGGACTATAAAGGCACAAGTGGCAGTAAGATTTTGGTTCTACTGTAAAATACATTTATTAGCTGTTCCAGGTTTACATACATTAGGTGCATATGAACCTGGACTGTTCTGCCAAATTAACATTTGGAACAAACTTAGTCTGGAATATAAGCCCTTCAAGAAAGCCAGGATTGTTAGTTTAAGTATGTGATTGTCTCAGTGCAGTTGTGTGACTTTAGGATTGCAGCTGACTCAGGTTTGGTCATCATAGGATGAAGAAGTGATCAATGCCTGTATAGAATCATAGAGTAGTTAGGACTGGAAAGGACCTTAAGATCATGTAGTTCCAACCCCTCTGCTATGGGCAGGAACACCTCGCACTGAATGACCTGATGCAAGTGTGCCTTCAGGCTACCTGGTATATAGTTAGAATACATACATACTTCTGTGCTAAAAGGATAGATGCTCAGAATTACTATTTTGAGAATTGCATTCATTTTTTGTTGTTTCTCTGTAGGTCTGTGCTATGGCAGCGGCCAAACTAAATACCCTTCTTCAAACCAAGGTAATTGAGAGTCAGCCTGAAGCATGCTACCTCTTGGGGAAGCTGGAAGGCATCTTGAGTAGATCAATTGAAGAGAAGACAGAAACTTACTCATTTTTGATTCCCCTTGTTCGGACATTGGTATCCAAGATTTATGAACTTCTGTTCATGAACCTGCATCTCCCTTCGTTGCCTCCTACCAATGGCAGCCCATCTTTCTTTGAGGACTTTCAAGAATACTGCAGCTCTGATGAGTGGCAAGTTTATATTGATAAATACGTAAGTAGTAGATTGTTTTTGTTATCATTTTTCCCCTCTTAGCCATGAAAGCAGAGGAAGTCCTTAAGAAACCACATTGTACTTTTTGTTTTGGTGGGACCAGATTATTCCAAATATGAAGCAGTATGAAGAGAATTCATTCAGACATGATCACGAGCAGATGGCACTTTACTGGAAAGATTGCTATGAAGCATTTATGGTGAACATGCACAAGCGAGACCGGGAGAGAGGAGAAAGTAAGCTTAAATTTCAGGTAAGGTTTTGAGTGAGTGCAAGTTTCTCTTAGAAGGCAACTCCCGAGACAGTTCTTCTCAAAGATGGAGAAACTGAATTCCAGGATGATCTAATTCAAGTGATTGCAGGCAGGTTGATTGTTCTAAGATTTTTGTGGGTAGTGTGACTATATGCACTTGTAAGATATGCTTTTTAATTCTGTTCTTTCTATTTAAGAATCTTGTCTGTAAGCAGAGTTATTTCAGGAGAGCAGGCCTTTCTCATGGTACGGCAGCCTAAAATTATGCTTAGCTATAAGCTACATAATTTATTTTGATTTCTACTTTGTAATATTAAAACTTATTCTCTATTATGAGATGAGTTCGAGGGTTTTTACAATAAAAACATTTGAAACTGACCAGTTCCTATTTAATGTGTAGAAAAATTGGTTTTGAACTGATCTTTCTATGTAAGGTCCAGACTCAGCTTAAGCATTGGAATTAACTGGTAATTACAGCAAATACTATAGCTAAGTTACATTTCTCTTGTATCCCCTTTGTCATCTTAGCAAGGATCCTTGTAGTAAGCCTTTTTTTACTCAAGTATCTAAAGGATGAGTACATTGAGGCACATTCTAGAATACCAGAATTTAAAGAAAAATCCTACCTATAATAAGTTTTCAGATAATGACCACTCTTCTGATAATGAAAAATTGCTTTCGTATGGATTCAACATTGATAACTTTGTTTGCATCTTTAAGTAGAAATTTGACTCCATTTCTTCCTGTACTAAGCATCTTAAAATTTCTCTTATAAGCATTAACTTAAATTTTCTGAAGTTTTTGCTGCTAAACTTTTGTTCCATCTCAATTTGTGAGAATTCTTGCAAGCCCAAAACTATGTTTTCAAAGGTCAGAGTTGTTTCAGTGATAGATATATTTTTAATGGTCTTTCAGGAGCATTTTGTGGAACCATTCAGCAGAAAGGCTCGACAGGAAAATCTGCGGTACAACAGTATGCTAAAGCAACTTAACAGTCAACACACAGCTACTCTGAGACAGTGGAGAGCAGCCCAACTGTACTTGCTCTCTGAACGTGGTCCTTGGTCTGAAATGTAAGAGTGAAGTTCTTAAGTCAAACTATATATGATGCTTAAACCATATTTTTTCACATGACTACCTTGCTGTTTCACATGGTTAGAACCTTGTCAAATTGGCTTTGATAACCACTCTTGAGATGTGAATATTGAATGCATCTTTCATAATGTTTTCTGCATTTAAACACCAGAATGCAAAGTTTGAAGTGTAATGCTGAGCTATTCACCTGAAAACTAGATTTTCTTGCCAAGCAACAACTAAAAATTATTTATCAGTGGAGTGTTGCAAAAACTTCTTGAGAGCTCTTATGGATCGGTGGTTCTGTTGGAAAACACAGACCAGGCTTGATAATAAAGATGAGGATTTTATGCATATAGGTATATTTTGCCTGTCTTAGCTTTTGGGGAAATTCTGCATAAAGTTCTGGAAGTGTAAGCAATTTGATACATTTCTGTAGAATATGGATAGTGTTTATGAAGTGCTTTAGGATGATAAGAGCTGCAATGTGAAACAGAAAATTAAAATGCAGTTTATTGCTTTTATATTTCACAATGTACAAGTGGATGACCAGTATTTTTCTAAATATGTACTCTTTCATAATCAATTCATTCAAATAGGTCTTTAGCTTTTTTACTGTGTTTATGAATATTCTCATTTTCCTAGGAAACAGCATCCTATTCACTGGAAGCTTTCAAATGTGGAAAATTTTTCACGTATGAGACTAAAACTAGTACAGAATTACAACTTCAACTCTCATCAGGATGCTAGTGACCTGAGAGATAATTTAGGTAAAGTTGTATTTGGTATTTCACTTGGTATTCTTCAGTCTTTACTGAAAAAGATACACACTTTACTATTTGAATTTAAGAATCAGTGATGTTAGGTACATAAATCTTGATTTTTCTTTATTTTCTCTATAGTAAAGTACATAAGAGTGGTGCTTTGACCTGAAACAGCATCTTCCTACTGAATTCAATTCTCCTAGTACATTGAAATGTGTATTTTTGTTGGGGAGAAAAAAATAAAGCAACAACAACAAACCAGAACCAAAACAAAACATAAAACCAAAACAAGCCACCAAACCTGCCAAACTCCTTTGTTATAAAATAAGCAGTCACATAGCTTTCTTTCATAAGATTCCTTTTTTTTTTTCAAGAAAAGGAAACAATGAGATCAGAGTAAGCAGGCAGGATTTGTTTAAAACCTTTTAGAACTTATGATTAATCATAACATGTGTAGATATGACATGCTTTGTTTCAGAAGTGTGCCAGACAGCTGAGTTTAACCTACTTGAACGGTCCTTTAAGTAGGTGCATTGGATATCAAGACTCAAACAAAAAAATAACACTGTTGTAAACCCAAGGAAGCAAAACTGGATGCAGTGTATGCAGGATTCAGGTGTATGAAAGCTGCATGCTTTACCAGTGTCTGGCAGAACACTGCAAAGTATTTTTACTGGAAATGTCCACATCGGGATTCAGTTTAAAATTTTCTTACGTGTTTATGTCTTCCCTTTATGCTGTTATACTTTAATATATAAGTCAATGCAGTTCAGTATTTTTAGTGTTCTGCTTGCCCCAAAACTGTTTAAGAAGTCTGGTTGTTTCTTCTTCTCAGTTAAAACCAACATTCCATGGTACAAAATACACTTGGTAGTTTAGCTTTCCGCAGCATTGTATCAAAACATTTCCTGAGCTCAAATGTCTACTTACGGTAGGTGTGCATCAGACACAGCCCTCTAGTGAGTCTCTGCTTCTGGAGGTGGTGAAGCAGGTGAAAGTGAGTGACTTGGAAGATGATGTTCTTGAACTACCTGAAGAAGACACAGCAGCCAGTTCCAATTTGTAAGTACAGCAGAATAGAACAGTTAAAATTTGTTTCTGTGCTAGGGATAAGGAGAAAGGAACAACTTTGGGAGTTGATTAGCATTCAAAGCTTCCCTCTTTCTATTCTGGCCTTAACAATACAATCCAGGACTTTGTAGTAATTTTGAATAGCAGAACAGTTGCTGTTGGATTTATCATTGTTGAACAGTGAGAGATAGAGCCCCAGGGAAAATAAGGAAGAGCAGATGCTTGTGATTTGTGAGGATCTTTTAGTGGTTCGTTCATTCATCATAGTTGGCCTGAAGCTGAAGCTATAGAATTGTTGAGGCTTTTTTGCAATGTACATTTGCTGTAATCCTCAAGAAGTGGCCTGCACTGTAGGGGCATAGACCAGGCTGGAACTGGCTCTTGTTCATGGATGCCAGGGGCATTCCCTGTACTGTCAGCTGCATAGTTGCTTGGTTGGTATTAATCTGCTGGAGTCCTCTGTGTTTAAGAGCATTCCAGAGAGAAGACTTGCTGTGCTTCCTTCATGTGCTTCCTTTCCCTTGAAGGCAGGGAGAGCTACCAAATGCTTCAGTCCAGTAACTGGACATGTGATTTTGTGCATGTATTTATGTGTTCAAGTCCAGTAGAGATGTGGCACTTCTTTGAGTGATACTAATGCATTTTCTTGTATCTTAGATGCTTGCTTGTGATGTATCATATCTATAGACTTCCAAACAAACATTTCTTCAAATGCTTCTGAAGATAACTTTAGTCACATGAACCAGGACTCAGCTCTGCTCTGGGTCAGAGCATTAAAGCACCTAGCAATTAAATAAGAAAGAGAAATGCAGCCTCATGTTTTTATATTTCAAGGAGGGTCAAGTCCATTGTGCCTGAGACTGAAATACCAAGCCTGAAGAGCGATGCTATGAAATTATGTTAGGTAGTCTAGTCTCAAGCATCCAAGACCCCTATTGGAAGTAGCTTCATATAATAATTTGTTGTGCTTTTAATGGCATTCAAATTTGATTCTTTTCTGAACTGTACTCTTTACCAAGTACCTGAGCAACTGTATGATCTACCCAACTGTGTTAACGCTTAGTGGTATTTTTGTAGGGATGACAAGGATGAGCAAAGTCAGAAAGAAAAACTAATATTGTCTGAAGACTGCGAACTCATTACAGTAATTGATGTGATACCTGGCAGGCTGGAGATCACTACCCAGCACATCTATTTCTTTGATGGTAGCATTGAAAAAGAGGAAGGTGAGTGCAACCAGTATCTCTTTCTTTTCAGTGCAGTTCAGCATTCTGTTTTTAGTAGGCTGAGTGTGATTTTTTTTTTTTTTTTTTTGAGAATGAATGTCAAACTAATTGTGAAGAGACAAGTTGCGAATCTGTACCTAAAACTAATGTTGTACTTGGTAATCAGTGGCTGGCTGATCCCTTCAGAATCAGGAATCTGGAGCTGTACTTGCTGAGCTGTTAAATTGATTCACTATTCTTAGTATTTCTTAAAAAAAGAAAGTTTAAAAAAAATTAATCAAGTTTGCTGATTAAAAAAGTCATTAACTCTAATTTGCTGCTTAAATGGCACTTCCCTCTTCTGTCTTTTTGTCAACAGTATACATTTACAATGTGTCTTGGATCAGAAAGCAAAAACAAATTGGATAATCAGATATTTCCTGCTGCCTTTTTCTTTTAGCAGAGCAGTAGCTGAAGTTAGTAATATTTTCCTAGCAAAATGATTTGAATCGATAGTGCATTATGTCTATATGAAAAGTTTTTGATATATTTCAAGTCAATAATCAAAGTGCTCTTCCTAGGGGTAGGTTTTGATTTCAAATGGCACCTTTCTCAAATTCGAGAGATACATTTGCGTCGGTACAACCTGAGAAGGTCAGCTTTGGAGATCTTCCTTACAGATCAAACCAACTATTTCCTCAACTTCAATAAGGAGGTATGGGTTCCCCATATTTCCTTGATTTATATAATTAGCGCAAATGTCAAGTTTAAGTTCACTGATTGTGTCTAATTTGAGGCTGGTGTCTTTCATACTGTAACACTAATAGCAAAAGGTTTGCTAGATATAGCTGTTATGGAAAACTAGGCTGCAGTCTGTGAAAACTACAGTCTGGCATCTAGAAACTGATTAATTGTGAAAAGATGGAAAAAACAAGATTCTTCTTTTTCCTGTCTCACATTCTCTCTGATATGGAACAATTATTCAACTAAAATTACATGAATAGTAATCTAAATATCTTGAAGTCCATGCATCTTCTTAAATATTCTGAGCAAATTAAGTACAAAGCAAAAGACACTTTCTATTTTACCACAACACTGGAAATTGTTGCTTATTTCTACGTTCTGTGGTTTAGGATTAGTGAATCATTCTTGTCCCCTCCCTCTCCCCTCCTATCCCCCCCTAGTAATAGTGTCATTGTCGGTGATCCTTTGTATGAGAGACTAAGTTGCATACTAGTAGGTGAGTTTATGAATAGCTCCTGTAAAATGTGTGTGTTTAAGTAAATAAACCTTTGCAATAGTTTTGTGGGGAAAACATTGGTGTAATTTTATTTGAACAGCAGTAGTGTTTCCCAGATGACTTCTGGGGCAATAATGATTTCCTGTGTAGCGTCTACACACACAAAAAGTTAGATATGTTGCCTTTATACCCCGTAACCAACGTATGTCACGTCCATCCATGTCCCAGATGTTTTATGCAGCAAGAGATAAAGTGCTTAAAAGCGTAACTATGCTGTTTATTGCACATGTTAATTAGCAGAGAAGTTGTTTACTTGTAAGCTTCAATCTCCAGAATAATTTTTTTATTAATGCTGTTTTCCATCAGGTACGAAACAAAGTATATAGTCGAATATTGTCGCTGCGTTCTCCAAATATTTCTGGGACCAGATCTCCACAGGAACTTTTTAAAGCTTCAGGCTTAATGCAGGTATGGAACATCTAGAGCATTCCTCTGCTTCTTGAAGGAGTCCTGGAAGGTCCTGGACTACTGATTTTAGGTTGCTTTTTTTCCCTCAGTGTTTAGATGACAACTGCCAACTTCTGTACCTCAGTCTGACCCTTGAACTTTCACATGCATATTTTGTAGAACTGGTGTGTTTTGTATTTGCAGTCAGTGAGGTAAATGGATAGAGTCAGACTCTGTTGATGTGATTATGACAAGTGTTCCAACAAGAATGGAAAACCTGCTTCTGTTTTGAGTCCATGATCTTGAGTGCACATCTTGGAAATTCTTTCACTATATGTGCAAATAATTTTCCATGCTATCTTTTCATGATGGGGCTTTCATGAAAGTCCGTGTGAAGATTGAACAGGAAATATGGTCTTTAAAGGAATTAGTAACATTGGCATAAAAGGAAAATGACAAAATGTCTGTATTAGATTACTAAACATGGATAAACTTTTAAATGTAGTAAATGTGTTTTTGTCTTCTGAGGGAGATCATCTAAGCTTCTCTGAGAAAGCTTTACAAATGACTTTTAAAACATGGCAAGTACTTTTCCTTTTTTTTTTTTTCCCTAACAATAAAAGCTACCATGTTTTATATTTACATAGAGAAAATATCATCTGTAATGAAATGTCTTCATCACACTACAGAGAAATACTGAGCTCTTCTGAACAGAGCTCTGTTTTTTTGTTTAAAATATAATAGTGGAGCAAAAGTGCAAGGGCAATGTTTACAAATTCCTGTACCATTAACCAATGGGAAAACAATTTGTAAGTAAGTTTTGACCTCAGAACTCTAATGATTTCAAAGTTCTGTTCTCCTTTTTCTCAATACCTGTTTACCTGCCTTCTTTTTATTTCTTCATTTCTGTTTTTCTTATTCTGAGCCTGCTAGTTGTCTGCTGCCCTGTATTTAAAACAGTACTGGCATCAGTCAGGGACATTAGTTCAATGAAATATAGGTAACACAGTCACTGAATCAAAGGGAAAATAAACTTTATTGGGAGAGACTGAATTTGGACTTTCATACCATTCTTACTGTCTTGTGCCTTTCACTTCCCAGTACTGTCCTCTGGCAGATGAATACTGACATGTAATTTGTGATAGTGGTATCTTTGCTGTAGTAACTTCATTGTGTCTTTTTTTTTTTTGTCCTTCAGAAATGGGTGAATAGAGAAATATCCAACTTTGACTACCTTATTCAGCTGAACACAATGGCAGGACGAACTTACAATGACCTTGCTCAATACCCTGTGGTAATGAAAAGAAAAATTAATTTATTTTTTTACTAAAGATACTTGTATTATTTCAATTTTGAAAGATGGATTTTTTTTAATCTCAGTTTGATCTTTGTTTCTTTTTGGTTTTAGTTCCCCTGGATTTTACGAGATTATACTTCAGAAGAACTGGACCTGAATAATCCTGCAGTCTTTAGGGATCTGTCCAAACCCATAGGGGTGGTAAATGAGAAGAATGCTAAGGCTGTGAAAGAGAAGTATGTATTTGACCACTAAAATACATTTCTGTCTTTTCTGAGTCTCCAGGCAATAACACTTTAGAAAAGTAAAGTTGTGACAGTGAGATTTTTAAAGCTAGTTTTATAACATCAAAGATACATTTGCTAAGGTTGCTGATTTGTTGTTCCTGCTGCATTCAGGTTAGTTAGCTTACATGGCAGTGAAAGGACAAAACTTACTGTTGTAAATTTTCAGTTTTTTCTCAGATCTGGAGATAAAAAACTGAAAGGCTGTAGAAACACTTAATGGCCCAGCACGTTGAAGAGACATACATGTCCCATTTCTGATTCAAGATCATTCCAATTACTTGAGCTGCCTGTGCTGAGAGGTAGCATTGATCCTAAATCTGTGCTTCCTGCTCCTTTTTCGAGTATAGATTATTATCTTTGAAGTAAAATATAACTCAGTGACTTCCAGCAACTTCTCTGTAGGTAGGAATGACAAGTACTTACGCCCATATGTCAGTGTAGTGATCTTTCCTTTTTTGCTAGTGTGGAGAGTGAGCATGCTATTGTAGCAGATTGCACTTGTCAGGCATCCTCCAAAACCAGCTTTTGTTTGAATACTTGGAGGAACATAGAGAATTTTCTTTAAATTATTAGGCTCTATCCCTGACTAATGAAATTGGTTCTCCAGCAGTATGCTTGGCTATAATTTCTCTTACTAGCCTTGTGACACTAAAGAATGTATCAACCAGATGGTGGCATAGTACTGTAGAGTGAGTTTGCCAGTAGAAAGGGAAATGGGCATGAGTTAAATAAATCTTTTCTGCATCCTGATACAGTCACACGCACACTTCCCCCATCAGACACCACATTTTCCCCCCTCCCCGCTCCTTAAATCTTGCAGGAAACTGTCTCAAGTCCTTTCAATAATAAATATTCAGCTTAGTGATGTGGGGGGTTTTGCCTGTTGTTATAAAGGCATGCTAAATCAGTCCTGTCTTGCCCTTTATCCAGTCTCTTAAAGCTGATAGCAAATGCCTAGGGAAGAGTATAAGAATAGGTGTGTAAAGGCTTCATTCGGTGTATGTTCCTATCTTTCAGCACTCTTGCTTAGGGACTTTCTAAGTCACATTTGGAATCCTCATGTTTAATAGAACTTAACGTATTGTTCTCTTATAGATTGTTGTGCTTGTTTCTCTTGAATCCTTGCCTCCACTAAGTATAATCCACGTGAGTCAGCTGTAGTGCTCAGCTGTATTCATAAAGATTTTTTTTTTTTTTTTTTTTTTCCCCTCCCCCAGATATGAGAATTTTGAGGATCCCCTTGGGATGATTGACAAATTTCACTATGGGACACATTACTCAAATGCTGCTGGTGTCATGCATTACCTCATTCGGGTAGAACCTTTCACAACACTTCATATCCAACTTCAAAGTGGCAGGTATGATGTGAGCAAATCAGCAGCACCTGTTTTTTCTTCCATATCATTTTATTGAGGGAATTATTAAAGTCTAACCTGAGTTTTCTGATCCACAGATTCGACTGTGCTGACAGGCAGTTCCACTCTATTCCTGCTACCTGGCAGGCACTCATGGACAACCCCAATGATGTCAAGGAACTTATCCCAGAGTTCTTCTACTTCCCAGAGTTCCTGGAGAATCAAAATGGTAAACTGACTGCTCAGAATATTTCCATAGAAAAGTGTTCCTTTATTCTTCAGAAAAAAATTTACCACCATTTGTGAATGCTGTGGAACACTTCTTGTTTAAGCTTTATAGTGTACTTATAGAAATTACTTTAACCATCATGTTGGCTTCAAACTGTTTAATGAAGACACCAACTGTGTTAAGCAGCAGCCTAAACATTGTTTAAAATTCAGACTGGGTGCTTAAGGATGGCTAAAAATAGTGTTGTTTACCTAGTGTAAAATATCAGAGATGTTCATTTGGATGTCTGAAAAAGAAAAAGTTAGCAATAGTTAATACTGATTTAATAGTTAGCAGAAGTTAATACAGATTAATTAGTATTCTTTTTACTGGGTTCATTGTGTGATAGAGTTTGGACATCTTCAAACATGTGAGGTCATTTACTTGTTCCAGGCAGCAAGCATATTTTCTGCTTATTACTGTTGTCTTTCAATGCAGTGTTAAAAGGCACCTGATTTTAGAGCTGTGTAAGGTTTCAGTACCCATCAGAAGGAAAAAAAGCTGTTTCACTCAAATATAATGCTGATTGAAAAGGCAGCATCCTGCATTCTGATATGTGATTCCTAGTCATTTTTTAATTCACATTTATTGCATAGGGAGTTGTTTCTCTGCCTATTAAGCAATTTAAAAATGGTTTTGTATTTTTGTGCTGCTGACGATTTAGTCTGCTCACTACAATCTACTAGAGTTCTAAATCATAAAAATTGGAAACACCCAAGTTGTGCTTTCAAAAGTCATTGAAGTATTTAGTTTTTCCAATGACAGTTGGTGGGATTTAAGACTTCTTGAAAGCCTTGGTTATACACCATTTAAACCTGTAAGTAATCTAATTCTTATGATTAACCTCATTGAAATGTTTTGGACTCCCAACCCTGTTAAAACAAAGCAAATGCAGATATGTTTACAGATAGGTGTGTAAAATATTTATGCTACTTTAAAGGTTGGGACTTCAGCTTTAAAATCACTTGGGAGCTTTGGGTGTTTGTTATCCTGTATCCTTTCACATTTTAAACATTCAGAGCAGACCCTGGCCTCCTATGTCAGTGGTAGGGTTATTGGAGATTTGCATTAAGAATTTTCCAGTATTCTTCATTGAGAAAACAATGCTTTTTAATCTTTATTAAGAGATCAAGATATTTTAAATATTTTGTAGTAACTCTTAAACTTTTCCAAATCATTCACTAGGTTTTAACTTGGGTCAGCTTCAAATATCCAAAGAGGTGGTAAATGATGTTGTTCTCCCCAAATGGGCCCACTCCCCAGAAGACTTCATTTATAAACACAGGAAGGCTCTGGTAAGATGACGTTTGTATGTGTGAAGTAATGATAAAGAAAGGACACTTATACATTGTCACTGTGTAAAATACTGGGACTACATTCAAACTAGAGTTGTGGTTGCATTTGACTTACAAATACCATTAGAACTTTCAGTTAAAAGCACTGTGCATGTCAATGAAATGTTCAAAAGAAAAAAGGAAAGATCCTGAAGATACTAATAATTTGGGAGTTTGCTGCCCTAGGAGATGAAATACAGAATTAGGTGGGTTTAAGTAATAAGGCTTCCCTTGCTTTTTAAAGACTATTTTGTGTGGTGCTAGGGAACTAGCAGCTTACATTTCCTTGCATAGTTGTATTTCAGTAATTTAAATGTGCTGCTTCACTGTATTTTCCCTTTTACCACGCAGTTAACACACATGGATATTCTTATGCTTCTGCCCTGTGCGTTGGTATATACCTGGTTTGTGGATACTCTGAGTTTAGGAATTAAATCTCTTCCACGGAAAATACCAAATACTTCAAGAAGTACTTCAAGAAGTACAGTAGTACTTCTCTTAATCTTACAAGAGCATTTTTAACTTCTAGGAATCTGAGTATGTTTCTGCTCATCTTCATGAATGGATAGATTTGATTTTTGGCTACAAGCAGAGGGGACCAGCTGCAGTGGAGGCACTCAATGTGTTCTATTATTGTACTTATGAAGGTACTAAGGAGTATGCTCTCTTGTTATTGTCACCAGACTTGTGGGTTTTCAGTATTAGAAAACACTTGATTTGTGAGCATGTCATACAGTAGCATATGGTAAGGTAACAGAATTGTAGATGAAATCTGGTGTAATTTATCATCAGATAACCAGAATATTTGATGCTTCGACCAGAAGTTGTGAAGCTAAAATATTAATAAAGAGGTTTTGGTTTTGTTTGGGGTTTTTTTGTTGGTTTTGGCTGGTTTTAGGTGGGTTTTTTTTTGGTTTTATTTTTTTTTAAGGGGGTGGTTCCAATTGCTTGTATTTTTGTTTCTAAAAGTGCTTGGTGTTTTTTGTTAGTTTCTCATTTGCTTGCTTGAAAGCTTTTTGTGGGAAGAAGTTTCTTGGGAGTCAAGGCAAGTTGCTTAAAAACAACAAATACTTAAGATAAATGTTAGTCTGTTAATTCTTTGGAATTTTGGGTGTCTTGTGTGCAACTTATTATATGCATGAAGTATACGAAATTCATTTGATCAGACAAAAGCTTGCAATTATTGCATTTGCATACACTTAAAATTCTACACGCAGAGTGTCGTTTTCAGATCATATTTTATATGGAGGCATTGTTTGGAGGCTTTTCTGGGGTAAAGGATGATAATGATGCAACTAATTAAGTTCTGCAACATTTGTTGACTGTATTGATTCTCAATAAGTTGTTTGGATTATATTGTTTTTCCTTTTTATTACCCTTCATGATTCTGGTTGTGATCCAGGGGCTGTGGATTTGGATGCTTTAACAGACGAGAAAGAAAGGAAAGCTTTAGAAGGGATGATAAACAATTTTGGGCAAACTCCCTGCCAGCTGTTAAAGGTAATGCTCTTTGTTCCCTCTCAATCAGACCTTTGAGGTTAAATCTGATTGAGTTACAAAGGACTTCTAAAAAAGTGGAAAAGTAATGGTTTGTAAGATAATAGTTTGGAATTTTAGGAATGTTAAGTCTTTGCCACATTACCATTTAAAGGTCACACTGATGAAAATGTAGCATACCATTTTCACAAGAAATTCATTTACTTTAAGAAGGGAAATTAGGTGTTTAAAAGTCTGCTTTCCCATTGATTGCCATACAACAACTTGATAAATTTGTCTAATCTGATATTCCTTCAAATATTGTCTCCTAGGAGCCCCATCCACAAAGGCTGTCAGCAGAAGAGGTACTGCAAAGACTAACTAAAAGTGATACCTCTACTTTGAATCTCTTCCAACACCTCACTGAACTGAAGTCATTCTTCATAGAGGTACATGTGCTACTTGAAACTGTTTAAAGTCTAATCTGAAACTTCTGGTGTACTTGAAACAAAAGGTCACAACCTAGATGAAAATAAACTTGTTTCCTGTTTAAAGAAATATTTTCAAATGCAATGTGTATAAAATGAACTCTTGTCGTCTTAGTTAACAACATGGAGGTTGAACCCCATAAATCTGTATGTATTGGCCACTTGTGTTTGGGGTGTTTGAATATTCAGTTAGCCATCACACCAGGGAAGCTAAGAACATCAATGGTGGTAACTGTGGACGTGGTAGCTAAACTCACTGGTTCGGGACAGAGACAGGGTTTGATTTCTGGTGTTTGTGACAAAGCATATCTGTGTGAACTGGAAGTGTGTATGCTAGTGCCTTAGAGTACTGTACAGGTCTGGCATTGGTTTCAAAGGCTTTGCGTATGACTTCTTACAAGTTCTAGACTTGTCCTTCAGTTCTTGGATATTATCAGACCAAAACCATGTCCTTTCTTGTAGGGAATCAGTGATGGTGTGCCCATTGTCAAAGCTGTTGTTCCCAGGAATCAGTCACGTTCTTTTATTTCTCAGGGAAGCCCAGAGATTTTGGTGAGTTGTGTTTGTCAATGCTATTCTTAAACTGCAGACAGTCAAATAGGTGTATTTTTTTTCCATACAGCTTACAAAGAAGCACTTCTTAAGTGTCCCTGTTCAAATGTGTTTCTTTAATCTATAATGAATATCAGCTGTAAGTTAAATATTTGTCTTCTAAGGGGAAGCCAGGCTGATTTGTTGAATGACATTTAAGAGCTGCTGATGATACATGAGTGTAAGTTGAGGTGAGGTATATTGTAGGTTGCCCACTTGATCCGCTTCCATAGTAGCAATTTCCTAATGCAGTGCAGCCCAGCTTTAAAATGACAGGATTGAGTTATTAATAGTATCATTATGCTTATCATTACTTTCCAACCCATACATTAAACTATACCATATGTGGTGTATACAGACTCCAAAGGCCTGTTCTTAAAGTTAACTTTTGCACTAACTAATATAGGTGCTGGTACTATAACAGATGGCTAAATGATGAAAGGAGGAGAATGGTTTTGTAACTACATCTGTATGTATGGTCTGCGTATTGGCTCCTGTGCAATAGTACCTATGTTTTGCAGGGGAGAATATTCTTTTCCAATATTCCTATTTTGTAGGTCCAACTTAGTGTCCTGACATAATGTGGCATGTGTATGTGACATTTGGAATTTGGACATGTCTAAAATGCTCACTGTGATTTTTCTAAATATCTGAAAATATACCTCAAATATTTAGATTCCTTTGTTAGTTTCTCAGAAACAGAACTGTAGTGTAACTTTTTTGAAACCTCCTGTGTTAGTATGTTAACTGTTAGTGATTACTGTTTCAAAGAAGAGAAACAGTAGCTTAAACTAAATGACTGAACTGTAATGAAATGTTTAAGAGGAGTTGGTTGCTTGGCCACACATGGATTAACTCACCTGAGCTAGGTTAATTTATTTACTTTTTTAGAAAATCTGTGGGTGTGGGAGTGTGTGTTTTGGTTTTTTCCTTTGTGGCAAATCCTCAAGAAGCCTATGCTGGATTTCATGCAAGCTCTGTATCAAAGCAGGAAGAGAATATGCCTCTAGTTTCACCAATGTTTCTATTGAACTTTTTTTAGGTAACGGCAAGCCTGAACTGTATTATTGGAACTCATGGTTGGCTACCGTATGATAAAAACATCTCCAACTATTTTACGTTCATCAGGGATACCACAGTGACAAATCCCAAGTAAGCAAATGAGGAGGAGGAGTGCAGATGAATACATGTACAGTAATAAAATATAGAAATTGTTCAACAGCCAGTGGATTGTACTGTTATCATAGGCTTTGTTTTCACCTAAGAATGAGTTTTCTAATGTTCAGTAACATTTCACAGTATTACAGATTGTAGAGGTAGAGTTATATAAGTGGCATTTTAAGGTTCTGTGTTCTTAGAGCTATTTCTCACTTTTTTCTAATAATCAAAAAACCTCATCTTGGAATCTGAGGTGGGCAGTCTTTATAACACTACAGTGGAAGTATATGTGGTGGTTTTGCTTCTTTATTTTTTCTTCAATGTTACAATATTTAGTAGCTACATAAGTTATCAAATTGCATAAAAGATTGAAAAGATATAAGGTGAAATCTTGCTTCCACTTGCCAATGGCAGTGAGAGTTTTGCTATGGCTCTCGGAGACAGAATTTCACCTTTGTCTTTTTTTTTTATTTTCAACATAGGCTCTTCTATAGGTGGGATTTCTTAATTTTTAAGGCTACAGAAAGTGCAAAATACATAAAATACATTGATTTGGACTAAGGTTACTCTTATTAACTGCTCATCATTTCCTTACAGAACACAACGTAGTGTGAGTGGTCCTTTTGCGCCAGGACTGGAGATCACCTCTAAGTTGTTTGCAGTATCCCATGATGCAAAACTGCTCTTCAGTGGAGGACACTGGGACAACAGCATCAGAGTGACATCGCTTACAAAAGGCAAGCTGATTGGACAGCACATCAGGCACATGGGTTAGTAACTAACTCTATATTGTGAAATGAAAGGTTTTATGTGTTGTACCTCGATGTTTGGTGTTTTTGTAAAGAACTGTAGCCAGTGCACTTGGGCAGACAAGCATAGCAGGTATAAAGAAATGGCAGTGTTAGAAAGAGAAGAATACTTGAACCATGATTATACGTAAATGCTTGAACATGGCTTTTTATTCATTGTAGTGAAGGTTTAATGTAGTTTCAAAGTAAGGCTTGACTGCTGTTTTTATGTAGCGAAGTGATTATGTCAGGTTGGTACACCTGGCTGTACAATGTCTTCATTGCTTAATAAAGTCTCCTCAGCCTCTGTCACAGTGCAACATTTCATGCTGACTGCAGATCAGGATACATTGTTGATGTATTGCATGCACATTGTCACTCTGTGGGAAAATAGTCTTAAATATGTATGTGATAACTTCCTGTTTTCATTCCTTCATCTAGATATTGTGACCTGCTTGGCAATAGACTACTGTGGAATTAATTTAATTTCGGGCTCCAGAGATACTACCTGTATGATATGGCACATAATTCATCAGGTAGGTTATTCAGGCATGCTCTGAGAAGCAGTTTTGGAATGGGTTTTTTTGTGCTTCTCTCTTTTGGTGTGATGGTTTATTGATTTCCTTTCAGGACTGCAGGGAAGAAAGTCCACTAAAATTGATTAGCTTAGTAATTTTGTTACTCCCATTGTGTTCTGTGTTTGAAATATTCACTGCACACATTAGTTACTATATAGCTGAAGTACAGTATTTTAGAGTCACTCTCAAAGGTTTCATAGATTGTTTTCAGAATGGGCAAATATTACCCCTCGTTGTAGAGATGGGGGAATGGAAGGAGAGAAACACTGCTTGAGACTACCAGAATTAGTCAGAACAATGCTTATAGTTGAGTATTTTTATGCTTCTAGGAAGCTGTTCACTCCAGTAATTGCATTTTAGCATTACATTTCCTCTGTGGGTAGTACTGATGACTACACTAGGAGTTAGCAGCAACATTAGTCTGTTTCCTGGATTTACACTGGTGTTTTTCAGTTCTTTAATATTGATCTTATGCATTCACATAATGAAAGTGATTGTGCAATGCATGTCTGTGCTTGCACTCGATATGTGAAGCAGTTTCCATTGTTTAAATGTTCACTTCTGATTGCTGCTTCAAGCAACTTCACGTATACAGGTAAGATTAACTGCAGGCAGGAGCTGTCGTGTTATGGACAGTGAGACTGCTTAGTGCAGTATTTGTTTGCTCAAGTGAGGATAAATTTTGGAACTCTTAAATTTATTTCTTTGCAATTTGTGAGTTAAATCATCCTCTGGAGATTAACTTTGTTTAGAATTGCTTTTTCTTAAGACTTTTAATGGTGGTTTGTTTTTGGGTTTATTTAATGTATACATAAATGATTATGTATTGTGAATTCTTCTTATGAAACTTTTGTCTTAGTCTTTGCAGCGTGGCAGCAATGGGACTGCATACTGTCACTTCCGTTTTGCTTGTCTGTTCTGCATTGTCACCTTCTATCCCAGCTCTGTATTTTGACACTTGTTCTGCATTCCTGCATGCTTCAGGCTTTCAGGGCTTGGTTGGCAGTCAAATTTCTATCACAGAAATGAGAATAGTGCTCTGCAGAACTATTTACTGTACCTTCTCTCTAAGTACAGATCTTGCCTTTGAACTGATTTGTGAGAATAAGTCTGTATATGCTGACAGTACACTCCCTGGAACAAAGTACTAAATAATTTTGAGACCCTGCAGTCATGTGGGAAAATTACTATTTTAAAATGAATATTATTGCAAGTTTTCCTTTGCATATCATATACTGGTAGTCACCGAGAAGGATTATTTCCTTACTTTTTCTTAGAAAATAGAATTTAAAATAGAAAATAGAATTGCTATGACTTTAAGCAAAATAGCTTTCAGCTTCTTTACGCTTGTCTGTGAAGGTAAAGTTCAATTCCTTGCACACCTGGACATCTGAAGGGATAGAAACAAGTCAGCTAAGTAAGTCTGTCTTTCATATCCACATAGTAACGGTATGTTCATTCGTTCTTGTGATTTCAGTAAATAGGGCTGCTGGCATAAAAGGCAAAAAATTGAAATTGGAATGGGTGAGTTGTGTCTTTGGTTTTGGCCTATGTCAAATATACCTCTCACACAACTGATACTGAAGATACCAGAAACTTATTTTTTGTTTGTCCTTCAGCTGCAAGAGAATGTGTCATTGCACTTTTTGTTACTCTCAGGGAGGAGTGCCTGTAGGCCTGGCACCTAAGCCATTACAGATCCTTTATGGGCATACTGATGAAGTTTCGAGTGTTGGCATCAGCACTGAGCTGGATATGGCAGTGTCGGGATCCAGGGTAAGCGTCCTCATACTTTCCCCTTCTCTGCCTCTTCTCTACTCAAACCATAGAGCATATCTGAAGTTGATTAAGAGTAATACAAAAAAATGTGACAATTTCACAATTTTTTTTCTTCAGCCTTGCAGAAGACAGGTGCCCTCTCCCTTGCTGCCTGCTCAAATCAGGCTGTCTCAAACTGCTCTGCACAGCATAGGCCTCAGCTACCATGTTGTGTTATTCTGCACAGATGAACTTTAATATGTGTGGGTTTATTTGGAGATCTTAAGTTTCTCATAGAAGCAATTCTGTGACAGTTTTCTTCCCCGATTTCTTAACCTTGAAGGTTCTGTGCAGCTTACTCATGCTCTACCGTACTGTGCCATAGGCAGCCTACCGAACTCTGACTCTGTACTGCACATAATGCATACTCATAAACATGACATACAAAGTAGCTGATTTGCTGTCTATCCTTCCCCTTTTGCCCTGTTTGCATTTGCTTTTTCATATGCCTATAGTACATGGCCTTGAGGGGAATGCGTCTTCATCTAGAATTCTTAATGCTCAAGAGTCTTGATCTCCAGTTAATGGTTTAGGTGCTTTTGAAATAGTCTCTCTGTATTTAAACACTCTGTGTGCTGTGGTAATGTGTCTGCTGAGTAGCAACTTACCTAAATTTGGTCACTGCAGGATGGGACTGTTATTGTCCGCACTATTCGGAAAGGTCAGTATGTGAGGACTTTACGACCACCTTGTGAGAGTTCTCTCCTGCTGACTGTTCCCAACCTGGCTGTGTCCTGGGAAGGCCATATAGTTGTCCACACCAGCATAGAAGGAAAGACTACTCTTAAGGTACTTAGTTTCATAGAATGCCTCTCTTTCTTTCACTGAAGACTTTAATCATAAATGTACCTAGCTTTATCCTTATTTCCTAAGGTAATGAAGCTTTTTGAGCATGCTGTGTCTGTTCCCCCCCCCCCTTTTTTTTTTATTATTTTTAATTTTGGTAGCCAATTTGAGTGCAATTTGATTAAAAGATAAATCACAGACATACTGTCCTCCTGTGAGCTTCATGAAAATCTTCAAACACCTGCAAAGAAGAAGCCCAAGCATGCACTAATGAATCTTCCTGGTGGAGCTGCTTTGAAATGTAAAACTAGGGGAAACAAGTTCCACTGTGCACAGATAGAGGCTTGTAAGGGGAGCATTAACTTCTGGGGGCAAGATGCCCAGTGACTACACTGATGTTTCTTAACTTTGGATTGGAGATACAGCTAAGAGGTTCACGGTTTAGCTTATCCTATCTATTGAGTAGCCTTGCAGTTGCTTTAATAAGGGTAGAGCTGTTATTTCTATAAGCATGGGAAATCTCTTGGAAGACAATTTTATTGGATATAGGCATGCTGGCTGCATTGGGAAGATGGAGAGAGAAGTGACCAAGGTATTGTCAGGCTGGAAGAGCTTAATATGGTCATGTTAGCTGTTTCTTTAATCCATCAAGAATTCTTTGCCATGTCCAGAAAATGCTTCTATATCTAGCTCTGTGAAAATATACTTATTACCTTCTGCTTTTCAGACGGGGGCGGGGAAAGGGTGGCAGCAGGGGGGAAGATGAGTGCCGTTTTCCCTTCTTCTCTCTCAACAAAAACCCATATAAAATAGACATGTCCATTAAATCCATGGATGTTTCCAGAAAATTTGGGATTGATTAGATATAGGTAAGTTGTTACCATGTTACATCATGAGGAAATGAGGAATAACTTCAAAAATTTCCATACAGGACCTGGTATACATACACATTGCATATAGGCTTGATACTCTTGTATTGTTCAGCAAGGAGGCTGTTGTCAGCAATATTATCTGTGGGTTATTGTCCAAGTTAGCTGCTGTTAGTGAGCTAAAGATACAAATAATATAGTCTTAATCCATTCAGTCCTCTGTGACAGATTTTTTTTTGATCTATTCAGGATAAGAATGCATTACATCTCTATTCTGTCAATGGAAAATACCTGGGTTCTGAGACTCTGAAGGAGGAAGTGTCAGATATGTGTGTGACTGGCGAGTATATTGTGATGGGCAGCTTACAGGGATTTCTTTCCATACGGGATCTCTACAGGTAATGTACCACCACCATCAGTAGTTTATTACTGAGATGTAAATATAAAGGCAGTGATCGTCCCCATGTCTCATTAGTCACTGGGAACACAGCAACTGCAGGATCAAGCCTCGTGTAGTTCTGCACTGAGTTTTAAAATCTATATACTGCTATGCTCTGTAGAGCTCCATTGCCATGCAGAATGGGAGTGATCATAGAATCATAGAATGGTTTGGGTTGGAAAGGACCTCAAGATTATCTAGTTCCAACCCCCCTGCCATGGGCAGGGATGCCTCACACTAGACCACGTCTCCCAAGGCTCTGTCCAACCTGGCCTTGAACACTGCCAGGGATGGAGCAGTCACAGCTTCTTTGGCCAACCTGTCTCTTAGACAGCTGTGGGGCTAATGTCACAGTTCTTCAGTGAAACGAACTTACAGTGAACTTACCCATCCATGCCTTTTCTTGTTACTTGAGTTCTATTGTGGGATACAATTAGATCATTCCTTAGGAGTTTACAATAATTGAAATTGCAAACTGGATCCTTGAGAAACTTTGTTTTATAGTGCATCATGTGGACAGCAATTTCAAATGCAGTGTGATTCGTTGCAATATGTGCAAATACACAATGTACTTTTATGTGGTTTTTGTTCATTTCAGCCTGAGTTTGACCATCTCCCCCTTAGCCATGAGACTGCCAATTCACTGCATTTCTGTCACCAAAGAGTATAGCCACATCCTTGTTGGCTTGGAGGACGGCAAGTTGATTATCGTTGGTGTTGGCAAGCCAGCAGAGGTAAAACCCACCATCAAGAACTTTTTCTACCGAACAGTGGGAAACTCACTTATTTCTGCTTTCCAGTTGAGCAAGAGGTCTCCTCTATGGCAGGGTAAACTTAAGAGCAAGTTTCAGTTTTCAGTGGGAAAGAAATAACTTTTGAGACTGCTCTACTGAAATTTCTCAGTAAGAATCAAAGGTATATAGGGATCACAGATGGGAAGCTCAGCTGGACTAACTTCCAGACTTCTATCACTCACACCTGAATAAGCAAAGTCATAATAGCTAACCGTTTCTGAACATGATAGTGTTGTCAGCCACTTCTTGATGAAATAATTTTCCAGAAGACAATTGGAAATGAAAGAGAGCAAGATACTTTATTTTTTATGGTTTCTGTCAGATATCTTTTAATATGCATTGTGTGACATTGGGGGGAAAAATATTACTTCTTTCTGTTAAAAGTCTCTAATTGCAACGCACAAAGAATCACTTGTGTAGGTTCCCAGTATGCTCTGTGCTCCATATGGTGAACATAAACTTGTTGGTACTGCATATGCAGTATCAAATACAGAGCATCCATCTGTCAAATAGCTATGCCTAACTTTTCTTGTGCAAAATGTAGGTTTTGCTTTAAGTACTATTTCTCATGACTTTCAAAGTATTTGAGCTAGCTTAAACCTGCTTCTCATTATAACCCGATCTCCATTGTGCTGCAGTATCTGAAAATGTGATTATCACTTTTGCATGACCTTTAGTACATGCCAGAGAAGATGTATTAATTTAATTTTATATTTTAATTGTGAAAACAGAGCGACTTTATTTGCCAGTATTTTAAAAAGTTTTAGCTAGGGGATGCATAGTTTAATATGTGAAACAGGCTTTGCACAATGGTAGTCTGATTTTGCTTGCAACAAATGGGGAGGGGAGCTTTCCACTGACTTCCAGTTGGACAGCTTTTTCCTGCTGTAGAATTGACAAAGAGCTGTTTATGATGTGGTTAAACATATGTTCGTAACAGGAGCTTTAAAGTCACTGTCATTTCTAAGCTTCCTATTGCATAGAAAAGATCTTTTGTAGGCTGAAATTTATGTATCTCATTAGACTGAAGGCTTTTGCTTTTTTTTTTTTTTTTTTTTTTTTTCTCCCAGTTCTTTATCATATCTATTTTTCTAACTATGGAGAAAGTGTCATTTCAAATACTGGGTTCCTTTTATGAATGTAGAGGCTTTCCAATGACTTTTTTTGAGGATTTTCTGTTTATAATTCAGATGATCTGCAAGCTTAATATCCATGTAAATAGATTTTTTTTTTATTTTTTTTTTTTTTTTTTTTTTTAAAAAAAGCACAAACATGTAAGGAACAACATTATGTCCCAGATTTTCTAGTTTTCTATAATGGCATCAATATATTTGAAAAGTGTGTGTATGTGGGGTATTTATTTGTTCGTTTGTTTATTTGTAGTTTGGAAGAAATATATTAATTATTAGAATTTTATCCATATACAGAAGACAGTGTTGTCATTTGGGATTTTGATGATACTGATCCTTAGGATAAAGGGAGAGACTGACCTTTAATGTGTGAAATGCTGCTTGGTATTAAGATTGGCCTATAGTGTTTCTGCATTGACAGTATCCAGTATGATGTGAAGTATAATAAATGTCTTTGTATTTTTAACACTTACTTTAGCTGTTTGGGATGTTGCAGAACTCTGGGGAATTATCACCTGTTAGCGTTAATCCTGGTCAGCACTGTGCCTTTCCTAGAACACTGCTGCTGTGGTGATAGAGTTCTTAAGCATGCTTCGTTCGTAGTACTAACTGCTGGGAACTGTTCTCAAACTTGTGCTATTAAGGCATGCATCTTGTTTATTAAACTGCAAGGGATTTCTTAATCTCATCAGCTGCCACGCTGATCACTACTGGCCAATCATAAGCCTTGTACTTAAAGGAGTAAATTAAAACAGTTTCTTACAAGTTGTTGTCAGATTGCAGACCTACCAGATGCTGGATTTAATATGGCCTCTGGTTGCTTGTTATCTGTCTTGACTTATGCAATATTCAGTATGGGTTATTTCTGGTTTAAATTTTATTCTGAGCACTGCACACAGGATCTTTGGAAGACTGTATAAATTTGACACCAGGAGATAACCTTTCTCTCTTACCTTCCTTCTGCCATCACTGCCCTGCATTTTGGTTATTGTTTCCTTTTCACTTCTAGCAATTTTTGTTTGAAATCTCTAAAATAAAATGTCCTTTCTTCTAATTTAGTTCATTCTTGCTCGATATTCACCTTTTTTTTTTTTTTTTCTCCTTCCTAACACTGCTTCTAAGCTGTTTGAAGTAGGTTAAGTATTAAATACACATTTCTTGGCTTTATCCCTTTAAGTGTTCAAAATCAGAGAAGACTGTGATTGGTGTTTTGTCTGATGTTTTTTGTCAGTCCCAAATATCATCCCTAAATGTAGCTTTTGGTTTGTTTTTAAGTAATTTTTGTTGGTGTGATTTTGTTTATGCAGTACATTGTAGTGTCTGCATTTCACCAGAATCAGTGTCTGAATTCCTTTTTAATTTATCCACCTTATCCCTTCCCCCTCCTTTTGTTTCTCTGAATTACTTTTAAACAGATGCGCTCAGGTCAGCTTTCCCGAAAGCTGTGGGGATCAAGCAAACGGCTCAGCCAGATTTCATCAGGAGAGACTGAATATAACACTCAAGATTCCAAGTGATTGCTGCTTCTACCTTCTCTCATGGATTCCAGAAACATGTTTAATCTTTTGGTCACTTTAATGTGTATCTCAACTTTCAGGGCCTTAATTCTTAATCTGTTGATGATGAACCTATGGTAGAGGTATAGTACTAAGCATATGTAATCAGGCAACTTAGCTTGCTTGTGTATTTTTCCTTAACTGTGTTGATGTGGTCACAGGAGAATCCCTCTCTAAATAGCTGCTAAAAGTGTGTTTCAGGAAGAAAAAAAAAAAAAGATAATTTTGATAACTGAATTTAAGATAAGTAGCATTTGATTTAAAGCTGAATAGGGCCAGGTGTTCCTTGATCACAAAGAAGCTATTTGGCTTTGCTTTGACAGCATTGTAATTCTCCAACAGTAAATGAAAATTCTGGCAGTTGCAGTGGTCAGGTTCAGAATTGGGATAGCTGACAGTTATAACCTTTTCCATATATATA